GACCACATTTGGAATACTGTGTACAATTGTGGTCGCCTCACCTCGGAAATGACATTGTGGAGTTGGAAAAGGTTCAGAGAAGGGTTGCCAAAATGATCAAGGGCATGGAGTGACACACAAACATACACACACACACGGACACAGACCATGAAGAATGGTTGCAGCATTTGGGAATTTCCAGTTTAGAGAAAAGGTGTGCAAGAGGTGGCATGATGGAACTTCCTGAAATTTTGCATAGCATGGAAGAAGTGGATAGAGAATGCTAGAACTTGTAGACATCCAATAAACCCAAATGTTGGACGATTTCAGAGAGCTTCTTCATGCAGCAAAAACTATGGCATTCACTCCAAGAGATAGTGAGGGCCACCAACGTGGATGACTTGAGAAGAGCGTTGGACAAATTCGTGGACAACAAGCCCAGCAATACCTACTAGCCATGATGGCTGTGCCTCCACAGTCAGAGGCAGTAATGTTTCTGAATGCTTGTTGCTGGAAGCCACAGGAGAGGAGAGCGCTCTTGCGCTTGGGTCCTGCTTCTGGGTTTCCGATAGGCATTTGATTGGCCACTGCAAGAAGAGGAAGCTGGACTAGATGGGCCATTGGCCTGATGCAGGAAGAACCATAAATAAACTGGTTTCTCAATCTCAAACTAGTGGTTGCATTTTCTCCCCTTCCAGAGGTTCTGGCAGCATTACTCCAGATGGTGTTGGGGAAAGAAATAACAGCCATCAGGAAGAGTTCTGGATGGCGAGGGCCCATTTATCAGCCCGCCTCCATTTTTTCTCCCTTGGCGGGAACGGGGAGTACCATTTTGGGGTTCACCTCAGGTGCCAAAATGTCTTGGGACAGCCCTGCCTAGCAGCTTAGAGAAGGGCTGTAGCCCAGTGGTGAATCCAAGGCTTCTGTATGATGATTCTTACCTCTCAGCATTTACCAAATAAAACATCAGGTTAATGGTTGTTATAACTGAATCCATTATGTTCCACGTTCCATGTTCTTGATATACAAGTATACGGTATGTAGAGTTATTATTTTGTATTTTGTATGTGAGTTATGTTACTTGTCTTTGTATAAAACTGTATCACATTATGTTTGTTTATATAATCCAGTGTATGCCCGGCTGATGAAGCCCGGTTGGGCAAAACAAGGAATTATCCTGGAATCCTTGTCTTCTTTTCTGCATGTGCCATTCTTCTAAGTCTTTCGTCTGAAACCTGCATACAAGGAACGCCAGAATTCTTAAAAGCATCTTCATGTGGAACATTACAAGATTGATATAAGGATAGATATTGCTAACATAAGAACTAAATAGATTGTATCTCCTGGTCAATTTGTTGAACTCTAATTTCTTATAATATGTTTTGTTTATATGATAAGTCGGTTTACAGAACCACATATTTTGATATATGTTGAATCGTATTTAAAAAAGAATTAAAAAAAAGAATTTATATAGTTACACGCAGCCTGTCACATTGTGTGTGTTGTTTAGTTTTGCATTTACATGACCAAGTGTTCGGTGGTGTTTTGATCTCAGCATTTAGCAGCTAGAGTAGTTGCTTCACTTGGCCCAATGGTAGGTCCAGTCCTGCTCTTGCCATCTTACTTCTTTTAAATTAGTACTCACAGCTGCAGTATGGACTGATTTGAATCAGGGCCCTGAAACCACTCCTGGAACGGCTATTTGCCTGAGAGTTATCTGTATGTACTTTGGGAGAGCTGGTTGTCTTTGAGGTCACCCAACATCCTGAAGGTCCCAGGTTCAATCCTTGGCTTCTCCAAATAGGACTGGGATGGACTCCAACCTCAAACCTTGGAGAGCTGCCGTGAGTTAGTGCGCGCAGTGCTGAGCTAGCTGGGTCAATGGGTCTGACTCTGCATAAGGCAGCACCCTACATTCTTGGGTTTGGAGACATAAAGAGCGATCAGAAACAAGGCACTGGAGCACATCTGAGAGATCAAACCCCATGATCACCATAATCTTTTATGGCTTTCAGGCACATGGATCCATTTATTGAGCAGGGGTAGAATGCGGCAGTCAATCGTTAAGAACGGTAAGCACTGGAATTAAGCGGGATGGAGATGTCTCTCCATTGTGTATGCTAGAAATAATAGAGCTAGAATGAATGGTTATTCTCAGGTACTTGGACAATGATTAATGTTGGTTCGAAACAGATGCTGCAAATAAAGGATGTTTGCAACCCTTCCTGATTTATAGTGGCAACCAAGGGACAAAGAGGGAAAAGAGCCCTAAACAAAAGGAGTGACAACATGTTATCTGAACATCTGTATGCTTGGGGGGATGGTTGATTCTCTGCCTTATAAATCACAACAGAAGGAACAGGCTTTGCTATATCCAGTGTGCTTGCTTGCTGTTTTATTGAACCTTAGAGTGAAATGAGGCATAAATTGGGGGGGGGGGGGTACCAGAGGATCCTGCTCCATGGGAGAGATTTAATTGTCTGTGTCTTGTGGAAAATAAAAACAAACTGGTGGCATTCTTAGCCATGGAATGATCCCACGAGTGTTATTAGGGTTTTCAAACTGGGAATGATGCAAAGCGAGTTTGTGAATCTGCGCTAGCTATCAGATCTGCACTACTGCTGACTCCTGGCAAAGCGCTTAAAAGAAATGCAGTAGGCTTCTTCACACAGGATGCTGAGCCTAGGTAGAAGCTGGCTACAGAAGTGCAAGTGTTGTGTTTAATATGTAGGATCAGCCATGAGAGGATGGCATAGCCTGCATTTGGGCACCCTTTTTTGTCCATTTGAAGAATCACTAAGAGCTTACCCACACTCAGTGGCATCGCAATGGGGGGCGGGGGGCGATGCGCCCCGGGCGCCATGTCTGGGGGGGTGACAAGAAGGCACCCCATGGGAGCTCTTGGCAGCGCGAGCAGCCATCGCGCCGCCACAGCTGCATGTGGAGGATCCTCTGTTTGCAGCTGCAGCCGTGAGCAGAGGATCCCAGCACCAGTGGCAAACCACTATGTACAGTGCATGTGTGGCATCACATGCATGCGCTGTATGTAACAATGCCGCACATGCGCTGTACATAGCGGTTTGCCGGTGGTGCCACCCCAGCGCCATATGCACCATGGTGAGATCCCTCCGTTGCCGCTACAGCCGGCAAACAGCTATGTACAGCACATGTGCGGCGTTGTTACGTATGGCATATGCACTGTACGTAGTGATGCTGCACATGCAAGTACATAGTGGTTTGCCGCCCCGGGTGTCACGACGCCTTCGTTCACCGCTGCCCACACTTCCTGTTGTCCCACTGATTTCCCCCAGGAAAAACCGTTCTTTAACACTCAGTTGGAGCAAATGGCAATCAAGTTTTTCGTGGATTGCTGTTTGTTCCAATTTGGAGCTAAAGAGTGGGTTTTCCCTGGGAAAGGAGCAGGGCAAGGGGGAGAGCACTTGGACCTGTGCTTTCAAGACACGGGACAAGTGAAAAGCCCTAATTAAACATTTACATTAACAGCTTTTTGACCCCTGATCACTGTTAGCCCATCAGAATGTTCAACTTCTCTCTGTCAATTGAAGTCTAGTTCTACACAAAGAGGTTCTGGGCTACAGATTGCAGGAGGACACTCCCATGAAGGGTCCTCAAAAAGAAAGAAAGAGAATCCTTGCATCTAGAAAAATAGCATGTCGAGAAGAATGGCTGGCCTTTTCAATGGCATGCTTGGTTTCTGAGTGGATTGCATGGGTTTGTACAAAGGAGCAGAGATCAAAGGAGACTGAGGAGTAGTAGTAGTAGTAGTAATAATAATAATAATAATAATAATAATAATAATAATAATAATGTTATTTATATCCTGCCCTCCCCAGCCAAAGCCGGGCTCAGAGCGGCTAACAACAGTAAAAATAGCACAATTTACATAAAATCACAGTCAATTAATTGAAATACATTCTAAAATCAATTCAGAATCAAATTCTGGTGGGAAATATCAATTTTTCTTAGGGGAAAAAAACCCAAACAAAAACAAAACCCATGCATGTAGAAAGGTAGCATGTTAGGGAGAAGGTAATGTTTTTGCATGATTGGAACATTCAGTCATGAAAACTTTCCTCTGCCATCTGAAATGGTATAGTCAGGACACAGCTCTACCACCTTGGCGAGAATAAGGCATATTTGATAGTTTTTCTTTAAGGTAAAGCCTGATCTATTGAATCTCTTTTTTCTTTTTTTGCTGAGATGTTATTCTGTGACAGCCCAAGACTCTAATTGCCCTGTCATTTTCTAATGTAAATCCATAATAAAAGCCTTTATAACCTTATAAAAAAGGACTCCCCTTTCATGTAACCTGTGTTCTAACCTTCCATCAAGTCGACTTTTATTGCTGACCAATATTTCTCCCTGACTTGCCTCTGATCTCTCTTCCCCCACGTTGCTGGGGGGGGGGGGAAGGAGTCAATAGCAAATTTCATCAGTACATCAGTCTCCACTGCAGTCATATTTCAAATGGATTTTGCATCATAAAAAAAAAACCTTAATTGGCTGTTTTCTCCCCAATCAATGCTACTGCTGCCCCCCAGCCCCACCCCTAAAACATCAAACTGCATGCATGATTTATTGCTTGAAGAAAGGTCATTGGAACAGTACCATGGGAACAGACTTACTTTCTCCAGTGACCTCTATGGAGCCAGATCTTATGTTCCTTTTGGTCGCAGTGACATTTTAAACACCTACAAGTGAATGAGTGATATCTCCTGTGGTCAGTATAATGGAATTGGGTGGGTCTGCATGTGAGCCATCTAGGGTCAGTAGTTGGGGCCTGCAGCTTGGGCATTCTTTTGGACTTCGCTCTGCTGTATGATGCTCAGGTGAACATATGAAAATGCCTTCTGTTGAATCATACCACTAACAGGAAAGATCTACAACTTCACATAACATCCAAATGCCTGGTGAGCTCACAAATAATTCACACATTCCTAGTCATCACTTCTTGATTAGGTGGGAACTGCTTGCTCTTCTTCACCCGGGAAAGATACCCTGCCTGGATAGCTCAGGTGGCTAGAGCATGGTGCTGATAATGCCAAGATTCCAGGTTTGATCCCTATACAGGACAACTGCAAATTCCTGCATTGCAGAGGGTTTGGACTAGATCAGGGGTGGCCAACTTCCAAGAGAAGTTCTACTCACAGAATTAAAAACTGGCAGTAATCTAACCCCGTTTTTTTAGGGGTTCAGGTCAAAGTTGTTGAGCTTTGTTTAGGGAGGGAGAAAGCCCTGTTTTTAGGAGATTCAGGAGCCATAAGTTGCTTAGCTTTTCGTGGGAGGGGGCGCAAAGTTTTTGCATTATTTTGGGGTCAAAGAGAAACAGCAACTCACCGAAGGATCGCTGGGGGGAAAATAGCCTTGGTTTGTAAACTCCATCTTCTGTTCTCCAACAATGGAGGGTGAGGCGGGGCAAGGGGACGGGGCCAGAAGGAGGCCAAAACCTCACAGGGATCAACCAGTAGATCGGGACTGACCTGTTGGATATCCCTGGACTAGGTGATCCGAAGGGTCCCTTCCAACTCCACAAATCTATGATTCTATGATTTTGTGCCCTCCTGTGTTTTTGAGAGCTCCTCAGCCAAATCAGGGGCAGAGCCATCCCCCGTAGCTGGAATAATGTCAGAAAGAGGGGTGTCATGGACACATCAGATCTGGCTCTGAGATGTTCTAAGTAGAACTCCCCTAGCCAAGGGGCCAGGAGAGGCTGGCAAACTGGGAAGAACTGTCATATCTGAGTTGAAAGTGGCAGGTGCTGCCACCGAGGGAGAACCAAAACCTGAACAGAAGCAGAGCTAACTACAATGTTGTTGTTGTTGTTGTTGTTGTTGTTGTTGTTGTTGTTGTTGTTTGTCTTCATGGGCTTTAATTTTGCTGCTGCAATTGGCTCCTGACAAGAGAATGTGGATTTCTTCTACGCCTTTCCATCTAACTGCAGGCAAAGAAGTTGTGTGAACAATAGCCGATTGTTAGACGATTGCTAGTGGGGGTGGGGGTGTGTGAGAAACTGCCTAACCCCCCACTGAGAGCTAAAGACTAATGGTTTAAAAAGCTTGAGCAAAAGCCTAGAAGGGGAGGGATTCTGAGGCTACTGTGACTGGACTCAGCAAAGCAAAGGACAATACGGAATCTAAAGAGGTTGTAGATAAGGAAACAAACAACAAAATAGGCCTCCAAAACTGAATGGGGAAACCAAATAGTGGGGGATGGAGCACTGAAGAGAAAAAAATAATGAAGAGGTTAAACACAGAGAGCAGGAGCAGGAAATCTATGAAGACTCTGCTGGGACTCCACTTACTCTGCTGATACATCACACTGGTTGAGTGGTGGTGAACTTCCAAGAGACTTCTACAAGTCACCAACAGGAACCCTGCACTTCAGGGTTATAATTTCTTTGTTAAGAATCCAGGATGGTTAACAAAAACACCAACCAAACCAAACTATTAAACCATTCCATTTTAAAAATCACATGTCAGTGTTCACCCTCAGTGCAATTGTTCTGTTTGCTTACAGGGGCATTGCTTCCATCTCCATGAATATTTTGATTGCCTCCCCCCCCCCCCCAAAGTGTAACCTCTAGATTCAGAAGCAGTATGCCACTGAGATGCCACTGTCTTCCTGTGCCCCTGGGGACCATCTGGGTACCCTTCACGGGGAATTTTGCAGGTGCGTGGGCACCCAGGGTGCTGGCACCTATGGGTGTGATGCACTAGATCAAGGGTAGCCAACACTGTGTTCTCCAAATGCTGCTGGACTTCAAATCCCATCAGCCCCAACCAGCATTGCCAACCGATGCTCTGGGATAAGAATGTACAGATCTGTCACTTTGGGTTTCACATTACTTCACTCTTAAGTTCAGTTCTTCACATTTCAATATCAGTTTTTTTTAAAAAGGGTTTTATGAAAATTAATCAGCATCGTTGTGCAAATTTATCCTACTATTTACATTTTTTTTGTATGCCATTTTGCCTAAGGTACTTACATTTGCAAAGCAATTGATCCCAAGAGATTGCATTTTTTGCACACTATTTCCACCAATATATGCATTTTATGAACATTATACCCTAGTATGTGCATATCACTTTTCCGCATTGCAAAATTTGGAAAATTGCAAATTTCAAGGAATGGTTGTCTTTCAGTTCACATATTGTTTTGAAGGTTCAAATTAGGTACGTTTGCCTTTAAATGAGAACTGGATCAATGTTCTCCTAGTCAGTGAGGATGGGAGATGTAATCCAGCAACGTTTAGAGGACACCGTGTTGACCAAGTCTGGTTTGACCCAACAGGACTCTTTCGCTGCTCTCACCACTCAGATTGAAGAGCACGCTCAGCCTCTAATTTTGTGTACCCAAGGAGAGTGAATGCGTTGTAAGGAATAACTACCCTGTGCTAAATGATATTGAGTATGTCCTCTCATTGAAAGCTGCTTAGCACCTGGGATCTGGATGTTTGCACTTCCCTGATCTTTATTTAGTGGCGGAGGTGGGGGGGGAGCATGTCCTCATGAATAATGCATTTCAAGGTGATAAGTGGGAATGTAAATTCAGAGCCACAGAATTATCTATCATGACACATCTTCCTGTTTAGCTACATTAATGTACACCCTTATCTCGTAAATGACTTTATATCTTCCTTACATCAGCACTTTACCTTTTGAAGTGTTGAAAAGGCTGTGTTATGTGGATGATGAGAAATTCAAGGAAGTGATTGACTGACACAGCTTCCCAACACTGACTTTTTTATATATATTTTTGCTGAGCTCTCCTTTTGACTGTCTGTCTCTCCCACCCACCCCCCCGTGTGTTTAATAAATGACTGTTTACTGAAATCAAAGGCGTCGGAGCTTCTATTCTCAGTGATGAATGCGAGGTAAAGAGCTTTTCATATCCGGTGAAAACGTCAGGGACTCACCAGGATGCTAAATTGCCCTCCTGCAGCTGGCTCGTGTATGGATGGATGTTTTGAGGTTCCAAAGAATGCTGAGGTTACCACAGAGAAATGCAACATTTCCAAACAGAAAACCCACCGAGTTTAGATAATTGTAGGTACAATCCAGATCTATTTGTAGGAGTGTGATACTTTTAATGTAGTAAATATAAGATAGCTACTTCAATATAATATGCTATCTGAAAAATGTACCCCCATATCCTTTTGACCTGGACAAGGGTGGATGCCTGTGAACTGAGTGGAGTTATCTTCCCACCCTGTTGGCCTCCAGAATGATGCCAGTATCACTCCATTGGCACTGAGCACCTCTTCCATGTACTGAAGATATGGACGGGTGGAAGCAGGGCTGGCCTACCCATTAGGCAAGGTGAGGTGACAGTCTTGAGTGGCAGAAGCCCATGAGACAGTGCTCCTTTTGGCACCCCGACCACCCCTTTGCTTCCACTGCCAGCAGTGAAGCAGGTCCAGTTCATGGAGAGATCTCACTAAAATTGCACAAGATGTTGTGGAGATCTTGTGAGATCTCATGGGGCTCTGCATGATATCTTGCAGCCCTTTCTCCAATGGCTGGGGTGGGGTGCTGTCCCACCCCTACCCCAGCCTCCAGAGAAGAGAGGAGAAGCTTCTGGGTTCTGGCCAGATCTGACAAGAACATGAAAGCTGCTGCTGCTTCTCCCATGGCGTGGAGGGTGGAGCCCCACCACCAAAATCCAAAATCCACACCCAAATCTGAAGCTGCACAAGACCGGTAAGCAAGGCTTCAGTGGGGCAGCCCCAACAGCAGGCACCTTGCCATTTGGCCTCAGGTGCCGAAGTGGAATGGGACGCTGTGGGGTCGAAGAGCAAGAAGAAGTTGGCTCTGGGACCAGATAGGGTGGGGTTGAACTCGTCCCAAATCAACTGTATATGATGCCACCAAGCCCAAGCTGGGCCTGAACATGGTGCCAGCTTTAGGGTGACACAGCATCTTAGCTGCTCACCTTCCAGTCAAGTTGCTGTGTGCAGCAAGACTGCAGGTGTGGTGTGGCTTCATCTCTCTATAAAGCCTCACAGGACAGGCAGAGGATTTGGGATTGATGGGAGTGCATCCTCTGCTAAACCAGTCGCAGGGACTTGAACTTTGTGGATTCTGATATGAAATGAGGATCACATCTTATTAATCTAATAGCTTTTGCACTTCCTGACTGTTCCAACATAGTCCCCTGCTCAAAAATATATCAAAACACTTTTGAAAGTGTGTGAGGGGAAAAAACAACACATTTAGAAATGCTTATTTGAAGATGAAATCTCTTCTAATAAACGCCTGTTTAAATGCATATTTAAAATACATTTAGAAACACATTTCTAGTACCAGTACATAAAAGACATGCTTACTTTAATGTGTCCTGAATCTTCCAACATTCAACTTATGAAGACCTTATGAAGAATTAGATTCATATATACACAGTATTGCAGAGTTCGAAGGGTGAAGGGAAGTTTTTCTTTCTGCAGTTCTCTTACTGCACATAACTGTGGCATTGTGGGAAAGTCTTGCTTTTAGAACTATTGCTTCTTTTCTCTCTTACATTCTGGGAAGCTTTTGCCTCTGCACAAGAGTCTGAGAATGTTCTGAACAGTTCCCATTGAGTTCATGAAACAGTGTATCCTGACCTGTTCTTAATGCATTGCTGACCACATCTACGGAACGTGATTGTTGTATTCCTTCATGTTATGTTCTCTCAATATCAATCTTTAGTTATAATTTAATTAGGAGGTTTCATGCCTGTCTAGTTCCAGCTCCGTTCCCAGTCTTTAATCTATCAATGATTAATGTAATATGTAATTCCCGCCTTGTACCTATGTTAACCAATCAGCAACAAGATGCTTTGTGTTTGTATCAACCAATCAGCCACAAGCACACCTGTGGCAATGTTTGTAATATTCAATAAAAGAGAGTTCCCGGGGCTTGCCCCGGCAGACGCCTCTCCTTTGACACCTACCACTCGTCTGTCGTGATTTCAACCCAACAGAAGGGATCTCGAGGGTCATCAGTCCTTTGCCTTGCAGGAATCTCAACTAAAGCATCCAGGACAGGTTGCTATCCAACCTCTGCTTAGAAACCTCCAATGAAGGAGAATGCACCA